ATAAAAAGGTATGTAAACTTCTTTTAGTGTTGAAAATGCATTGTTAATAAGAAGTTTTTAATAGGAAACATTCCCATCGTTATTTACTACAAGAAATAAGTTTTGTTCCCGTTGCCAACCAAGGGTCAAACGGTCTTGAATCTTGATTTTCTTGGTCATTTCCTAGTCGAATGACTATGATTTTTTTTTGGGACAACTTACGTGCACCGACTAATCCTCAAACAATTACGAATAACCTGTGGAACCATCGCAGATGAACCTCCATAACCGCGAGTTACTGTGATTGTTTCTACCACATATTGTCAAAAGGGAAAACGTATATGGCAATTTCATTTCTTTTTAAATGACAAGTGTTATTTTTAGATAAAATGATCATGAAAAGACTTTTTATCATGGGAAAAGAAGCATTGGAGCGCTTTTGCACTTCATTAAGGAAAACATATGTAGCGGATTTCGAATTTTGAAATCTACTGGAAACAGATTGTAGCAATAATGATAAGTACCTGTACTGAAATGATGTCTCTTTATTTTTTTCTTGTTGAAAAGCAGATAGGATTAGATAACAATCTTATTGTTTTCAATTTGGATGGTTTTATCATTATAAAATATTAGAGAGATTATTGTTGCAAATATGGAATTTCGGTTTTGTCCGCATTCATAATTTACACCCTATTTTAAGCATGTATGAATTGAACCTACGTTGGGGCATACGTTGGCCCATATCATCACTGTAATGGAAAATTTATGTTCCTGAAAAATGTCACTGTAATATTTCAATATGTTCCTTTATATTCCATAGAACCGAAATTATACCAGAAGTTTAAGGTCGCTTAAGTTGGTTTAACGTGCCAATTTTAAGATTTTGATGTGGGTGTTATTTTTTTTTAAATACAAGGACTAACAGGAGAGTCGGGGCCGACCCAAAAGTTTTTGATGTCCTGCAGTGAAATGTTAAAACATGCCTCAACCGGGAAAAGAACGTAAAAATATTTTAGGGTTTGTAAAACTGTTCAAATAGTGTTAGTCGATATCCAATCATTTGCACAATTTATTCCAACGAAATGGTGTAAAGATTTGTGTAAATTGCAATAATTCAATTTCAATGACGTATTATATTATCTTTTTCCATTAAATAAATTATTAAAAGTATATATTTCATATTCTTAACTTATATATATTTTTAATAATATACGTACTTTTATTAGTTTATACAAATTCGACGCATAAGTTTTGTTATAATAATTTTATAACACATTTGAATAAACAATATATTATTAATTACTTTTCTATTATGTGTTAGTCAAATTTCACCTTCGATTATGTCCTTTTTTTATTTTCTTGAATCATAATATATACATACATATATATATATACATGTATGTATGTATATATGTGTGTATGTCATTTTTTATGTTTTATTTTTTATACATATATATCATATATGAACTAATATAAGTATAAATTATAATATAATATTAATAAATATTATAATTAAAATAGCATTTGTAATCAAATAAACTAAAATTATATAGACATCAAACTTGCATAAATATTAAATACCAAATTGGTTGTATATTTCACCAACATCAGTTAGTGTAGAATTGTAATGAAATTGTATGAAAATTGATATAAAAATGGGATTTTGGTGATGATAAGATGTCTTTTACCGAACAACAAATCTACACCCAATTTATTGAATAAACATGTGCCCCGCTTTTTGGATCTATTGAGGCRAAGGCTCAAAGAAAATGGCCCCGCCTATGTTCGAAAAATCTTTTTTTGACGAAATTATACACATAACAGAAATAATAAGTTTTCAAGTATTATTTATAGGGTCTTCTTACAATAATAAGTTATACAAATATTGATTTTGCTATTAATTTTATTTCAAATAAATACTTATTGTTGTAAAAGCACGACAAAAATGAACTTAAAAAATTAATCGAAAGTGAAAAAAAGAAAATGGGGAATAGGGAGAGAAGTACTAAAAGCGAAATCTAGATAAATATAAACAAAATGATTTCTAGCTCATTGGTAAAAGCCTCCTGATTATACTAGATGACCTTGATTTAAATCTTTCTAGTAACAATTCCATTTAATATTTATTTTTTTGATTAACCTAGATATCCAACCCGCTATGTAAGCCGACTAATCCCAGGACGACTACTTGTTTTGCAGATAGCTCGGAGTCACCGCATTTGAACCTTCGTGGCCACAAGGGGATTTTTATTCCTCCTTGGATTTGAACCTGGGACCTCCTGATACTTTTGACATTTGGAGTCAAGCTCAGACCAATCAGGCACCACCCTTGTGATTAATTCCATTTAATTTTTAATAACTATACAACTAGTATTGGGCTATTTGATTCGTGGCCCACCTATAGGTTCGGCCACGAGGAGAGTTTTTACAATACGGAAGAAGCATTGGATCGTTTTTGCACTTACTTAAGGAAGAGATGCTACGAATATCAAGTTTTAAAATTTCTCAAAAACGTATTGTTGCAATAATGATAAGTACTTGTACTGAAATAATGTATTTTGTTGGTTCTTGTTGTAAAGCAGGCAGAATTTGATAACGATGTTAATGTTTTCAATTTTTAAATTGTTTCTCAAAAAAACTGTATAGTTTTGTCATTATAAAAATGAGAGATTATTAGGGCAAATATGGAATTTAGATTTTGTCCAAATTCATAGTTTACGTTCATTTTCAAGCTGGCTCGTACCATCACTTCATGAATCTGTTATAGTAGAAAAATATTATATTTCTGAAAAGGGTGTGACGTTATGTGACCCAATATTTTATAGAACTAAAATTATGATAGTAATTTAAGGTGGCTAAGGAGTCGTTTAACAAACGCTTACCCGGGTAAGTGTTTAACGGAAAAATCTAACACTATCACTTACTTGTCGGGTAAGATTTTAATCCACCAAAACGGTATAGAATGCAACACTTCACCCGGTAAGTGCTAAACTATGGTAAGAGTCATCGCCATCACTTATCGGGTAAGACTCTAGGTCATTGTCGTCACTCTTAGAGTGTAAGATTCTTAATCCTTGGCATATTCATTCGTTAAGGTAATGTGACTTGTTAAGCACATACTCAGGTAAACGGCCCATAAGTTGGTTTAAAACGTAAGTTCAAGATTCTGATGTGAAGTGCTGTTTTTAAACAGGAGGATTAGGAAAAGACTTTTTACAACGGGAAAGAAGTATTGGAACGATTTCGCGTTTAATTAGGAAAGAGATGTAGGGAATTTCAGGTTTTCGAATTCTCGAAAACATATTGTTGTGGTAATGATAAGTACATCTACTTAAATAATGTCTCTTCATTCGTTATTGTTGTAAATCAGATAGAATTAGATAACAGTCTCACTGTTTTCAATTTTTTAAAATGTTTCTCATTAACATTGAATTCATGTTTTTAGCCATTAGGGCACACGTTGGCCCTGTCACCACTTTATGGTTTCGTAGCAGTGGAAAGAAAATTATGTTTCGAAAGTCGTCACCTTAATGTTTCGTTGTGTGTCTCTGTATTTCATAAAACTAAAATTATGATAGAAGTTTTGAGGTGGCTAAGTTAGTAGGCATGGACGGACCCAGGCTTGTGGTATAGGTGGCACGTGCCACCGTATTATTTGTGAACAGTGCAACCGTATTAATTTGTTGTGTGCCACCATATGTATTTTGAAACTACAATGAAAACAAGTTTTATTTGGTAGAGTTGGTTTGCAAGGCTTTAATTCTACCCCACACCCAAGTTTGAATCTTGTTAGTGTCATTTTCTTAGCCAAATGGTGTCATATTTTGAAAAAAAATCCGTATATTTGTTTCTTATAGTCAAACTGTGCCACCGTTTGAAAAAAATTCCGTATATTTGTTTCTTATAGTCAAACTGTGGCACCGTTTGAAAAAATTTCTCAATATTTTTTTCTTATGGTCAAATGGTATCACCGTTTGAAAGAAAAATTGGGTCTGTCCCTGTTAGTAGGGTGCTAATTTCATACTCAACTTTGAGAAAACGCTTGAGTTCGAATTCAGCTAATTTCATACTCAACTTTTCTCAACACTTGAGAAAGCGCTTGGTTTGGGGAAGTGCGGACTAAAAATTAGGGGCGTTCAAAAACACTGTCGGACCGGTCAAACCAAGTCAAACGAGAACACCTCCATTTTACAAGAACGCGAGAACATCCTTATCACATGTGATAATATGCGTGAGTGACTCTGTGATGTGCGGACGACGTTTTTTATGACTTAGGTCGTGCCAAAGGTTGTCCGCGTCTATGATTTAGCATCACATGTGATGGTCTTGATGAATTATAGTATCATATCAACAACAATCTTATCACATGTGATAATACTTGTGATGGGGCTTAGTGGTGTAAAGACGACTTAGCCTGCAAACAAGATCGCATCGAAAATCTTTCACGTCTCTGATTTAGTATCACATATCTATCATATGTGGTAGAATAATAGTGTCACATGTGATTGTCTATAGTAAAATGATGTTCTTGTAAAATAAATATGTTCTCGTTTGAACTCTTCCTCCATATATATATATATATATATATATATATATATATATATATATATATATATTCATACATTTTCATTTTAAAGAAAGATATTTTTTTTTTTAGCTTAAAGCCATTAATAGGCCTAAATCGTCTAAACATGTTAGACCATATCGTCTTTTTATAATCTGATTTGACCCGTTTATTCACTTACTTCCAATCCATACATTTTGTAAAACAAACAAACCACGGTTGCAGTTTGATTTATAGTTTCAGGAGTTACCAAACCCCACAACAAATACTCCTACTAAAATGAGTTTACCAAATATTTAAATAAATATTAAAAGCTTTAATCTTTAAACTATTTTTTTAATAAAAAAAACCATTAAACTTTCTCATTTTAAATAATCAATTACTTAAATTATTTTTTTATTAAATATTTTAATAATATAATTAATATTTAAATTTTTATTTCATATATATATATATATCAAACAAGAACATAACTTATACATGATGCAATAAAAGTAGTACAATCACTTCAGGTATTATTCCATCCACATGAGTCACTTCATTATTCACCCTCAAACGAAGGTCGATAAACGAGTCAACTCAAACTCACTGACTCACCATCCTTATCGATCGATGTCTTGACCGCATCCAACACAAACTGTGTTTTCCGACTATAACTCGGCCACTTTTTCTCACCCACCGAACCATCTTTCTTGATGCTATTAACCAACCTCGAGAACTCGCTAACCATACGAGCTTCCTGTGGAAGACCCGTCATGACCGTATGCTGACTCGGCAAAGGCACCCACCCGGTCACGAACTCAGTGAACCCCGACTCAGTCGCTGTCATGAACGAACCTTGTTTCTCTTCGAAAGGGATAACATAGTCGTTTAAATGCAAAGTACCTTTCGTCCCCGTAACGGTTACATTCATCGTCAAGTTTGAGAAAAACGAGCAATGAAAGGTCGCGACTTTACCGTCTTCCCAGTGTAACGATGCACCACATGACATAATAACTCCAGCTTTGTTGAATAAGGTGCCCGGGAGAGCCTTCACGAATTTGGGCAGTTGGAAGTCGTTTGCCCAAAGGATCGATCGAACACAGTACCATCCGGCATCTCCGAGTGCGCCAAGAGCATCGAGATCGGGTTTGACACGGATGTCGTTCTCGAGGAAGTCGGAATCAGCAGCAAAGGTAAAGATAGCATTCACCTACAAAAAAATCCATAGCTTCCCACTTCACATGTGTTTATATTAGCAAATACAAGAAGAAAGAATTTTAGAGAATCCTATGATTTCTTTGAAATCTCTCAAACATAAGATTTTGAAATCGGGATTTCACTGGATTTTGTAGTATTTGTATATAATAATGTTTATCCGGGTAAGCGCTTATCGGTAAAATTTAACTCTAACATTTAGTTACGGGTAAGATTTTAGTCCACCAAAATGACATCGTATTCAACAATTTACCTGGTAAACGCTTACCGTGATAAGAGTCATCGCTCTCACTTACCGGGTAAGACTCTTGGTCCTTGTCTCGCTCTTACCGGGTAAGATTCTTAGTCCTTGCCATATTCATCCGTTAAGGTAATGTGATCTAACCTCATAAAGTGTATTTGACCTAAAGTCTTTGTTTCTCATACTTACTATATTTGATCTAACCTCATAAAGTGTTTGGGTTTGTTGTTCACCTCTTAATAGTTCCATTAAGAAACATAATCTAAATCGTTAAGAGGTGGATCTTGTTTGGCAAAAAAAAATCTGCCTATTAACGGTTTAAAAAACCCTGTGAATGATTTTGTATTATGGGCCTCCTTAAATCATTCAATGCCTTGATTTCATTCTAAATAATTACCAAACAATTGTATTTATTTTGCAGTATATAATTAAAGCTTCCTAATCATTCTGATCACTTAATCGTTTTGCTTTAAATCATTCGGCAACTGAAACAGTCTCTTTGTTTCTATCGTTCAAAGTCTATATCATGTTTGTAGCAAGCAAATGCCCAATTCATTTACCCAAAACCAAAACAACACCAAATTTGAGTGAAAATCTCTTCCAAATTATTCAAATACGAGTTGAAATTTGAAATCTACGATGGCAATTTAACACGTTTACCGATCGTAGTTCGCCGAATTTCTCAGGATCGGAGATAAATTTCTTCATCTCCGCCGTCCTTGGATTATGCATCCACATAGTCGAATCCATCAACTGGACACCATTGGATTCGCAAGCTTCGATAATTTTATCGAACTCACCGACGTTTAACGCCACCGGTTTCTCGAGCAGGATGTGCTTCTTCTTCTCGGCGGCAAGTGTAGCCCATTTGAGATGAAGGCTAGTTGGTAACGGAATGTAGACGGCATCTACGTTAGGGTCGTCCAATACGGCGTCGTAGCTGCCATAGATTTTGGCAGATTCAGGGAAGCCATTGGAGGCAGCGAATTTGGTAGCTTTTTCGAGCGATCGACTACCGACGGCGTAAAGCGCGGCGTTTGGTGCGAGTGAAATTGCTCTGGAGACCTTACGGGCGATTTCAGCGCAGCCTAAAATCCCAAATCGGATTGGGGTTTCCGCCATTTTCGTGTGAGCTTAGAGGGTTGAATTGGGAGATGTGAGGTATGAATAAAATTATGCAATGGAATGGGACATGGGATGGGTGGCTGTTGATATATGGGAGCAGATTCCATGATGAGTCATCAATCACGGATGCTTTTGTAGTGAAAAATAATTGCATGAAAGGCCCTTCAACTTTTGAAATATTTTAAATTTGTCACTTAATTAGTACTATGCTAGTAACTAGCTTTAAATGTATAAGATCATCTCATTTAAGGGCCGTTTACCAAATGCTTACTTGAGTAAGCTTATCAAGTCGCATTACTTCACTGAATGAATATGATAAAGATCAAGAATCTTACCCGATAAGAGCGAAGGCAAGGACCAAAAGTCTTATCCGATAAGTGATAGCGACAACTCTTACCACGATTAGCGCTTATTAGATAAGTTGTTACATACGATGTCGTTTTGGTAAACTAAAATTTTACTAGGTAAGTAAGCGATGACGTTGAACTTTACCATTAAGTGCTTATCGGGTAAGTGTTTGATTGTCACATAATTTCTAGCCCAATCTCTTGTAGAGAATAACAATTACTTCTCTTTAGGTACTCATCTCAGTGTGGATCTTATTTTTTTAGCAGATTTATTGATAACTGCATTTTTTAGAGTCCAGACTTGTGTAACCAGTGGGTTATATAAAAGTTAACTTGTAACCAGGTGAACAGTTAACTTATCTATACTTCTTACGTATATTATATTTAGTTAATTTTCTTAATTTACATATATATGTTCATAGTTATTGAACATATATACGGATGAGTTATATAAAGATGTGAATAGATTGAAAATATGTTTATATGAAAAACATACATGATAGTTAATTGCCTAATGTACTATTAATAGAAATTCAACAATCATATTAAATCCAATATATAAAAGGATATCGGGTTCATCGGGTTGGGTTGAGTTCAAATAATAGTAACTCAATATCAACCTAATACTTACGGTTTGAAAATTTTACAACTCGATTAAACATCGAGTTGCTTCGAATTAAATTATTTCGTGTTGGGTTGGGTTGATCGAGTTGATCAGATTTTTGAGCACCCCTACTTTATGGATGATTGGACGGCATGCAGATTTAACGACTTGGTTTGTCAGATTTTAAGCTTGACTCCATTGCCGCCCATATCTGACATCTTGACAAAACTTCAATACAAATATTATAATTAATTAATAGATGTACAAATCAATAAAAATACGAAACATATTTGATTCTTTAATTTTTCTATTCGATAAATTAACACACAAATTTTTAAACGAAATCATTTGAATTTACTTTATATAAGATTAGAAGGGTACTCGTGCAATGCAATGAGATATATCTCGATTTTAATGTTTCATTTTGTCTTTTTGGTCTTTGTCGATGATATAATACGAATTTATATGGTTTTGAACAAGTAATAGTGTTTTTTTTTTTTTGATAAAATGTAAATTTGAAGATATCATAAAAATTAAAAAAATATATAAAAGTTCTTATTTTTTTATGTAATTTATTTAATTCAATTTTTTATTATTATTTAATTTGGGTTTGATGACGAAGTATTTTTTTAATAATATAATTTTTATGAAGATAATAACTAAGTATTCTGTTAGAACGCAATAATTATCTTAATTATATTTTAGATTTTATATTTAAAATAATAATTTTATCATGTATTTGATTATAATTATTTACAGTTTGTTACACAAATTTAAACATAGAGCTTAATAAGTTGTATTTACGTACAATTTACTTGTAAACTTGAATTTTAAATAATATGCATCAATAAGCAGTACTTCATGTATAAAAGATGGTTTTTATGAGTTTTTGTCAAATGCTTTATAATATAGTATAGATTATATACGCGGAAGTGATCTCCAATTCACCACGTTCATAAGATATGTTCATATTTGGCATGTTTTCGAAGGTTAAATATCAAAATTTAGGGGTTGTTTATCAAACGTTTATCCGGAGTAAGTGCTTGCTAAGTCACATAACCTTTTTTTTTTTTTTTTTGTAAGGGTGTCCGGGCCAAAGCCCAACTAATCCCCGGCAAATTTGGAGGCTAAACATGGCCCCACTTAAATGTCGCCAACACTCCCCTCCCAGGGCTCGAACTCGGGTTCATGACTATGCCATGCCCAAGCCTTTACCACTAGGCTGGAAGGTCTTTGACTAAGTCACATAACCTTCCCGGATGAATATGGCATGAATCAATAATCTTACACAATAAAAACGAAGACAAAGACCAAAAGTCTTACCCGGCAAAGTGATAACGACTACTACTTACTCGAGTCAACATTTACCGGATAAATTATTGCATACACTACCATTTTGATGGACTAAAATCTTACTCAGTATGTAAGCAAATGTTATTGTTGAATTTTACCGATAAACATGTATAAACATCCCTATAATTTGATGTTACAGATTTTTTATGATAACTAAACTTTGTTTTGGATTCTAATTAGATCACCGTTGTTTACTTTATGAAAACACATTCAAATAGACTTGCATTTGAAATATAAATGAATTCTGGAATTTGTAATATGAATCTCTTTCATATACTTGAATTTTATGAAACGATTCAATTAGTGAGTATGTGTTTTAGTTGATAAATCTATGTTTCCGTCGAGTAAATATTGAATTTCTATTATTTGAATCTTGAAATACAGTCCTTAGAAAATCCTGAGATACAAAGATTGATCGCGTAAAAAGTAAGAGAATAAATTGATCGCGTAAAAAGTAAGAGAATAAACCACATGGGTGGTGTCTGATTGGTTTGAGCTTAGCTCCAAAGATTAAAAGTAACAGGAGGTCTCAAGTTCAAATTCAAGGAGAAATAAAAATCCCCTTGTGGCCACGGAGGTTCAAATGCAGTAACTCCGGACTATCTGCAAAACAGATGGTCGTCCTGGAATTAGTCGGCTCGCATAGCGGGTTGGATATCCAAGTTAATAGAAAAAAAAGTAAGAGAATATGTGTAAAAAGAGAAACTATTTAATTATAAATCTATTTTGCTTCTAAACTTCTTCCTTGGAGATTTTTTTATTGAGATTTTAATTTCTTATAAGTTATAAATTTTAAAATTATGTTGTCGATTTTTTAACCATGAATATCCATATCAGCTTATATTGTACATCTGCTGATGTCACAATCCAAGTGGTTCAAGAACTTGTCATTTATTGCACAGTTCCAATAACCCGATTATTTAGGACCGGCCCAACCATTTAACTGGTCGTTGTTCGAGTTATATGGACTGACATGGTTCCGATCAATCTTGGGGCAAATTTTGCTTTTTCAAAATAGGTTGGTACGTGGGCATGTGGGATTGGACAAGCAGTGGCGGATCCAGAAATTTTATAGACTGGGGTCCCGTGGAAAATATCTACTGGGGGAGCGAGGGTAAGTTCTGTAAAAAAAATTTAATCTAGTTTAAAAAAATTAACTTTTTGAATAGGGTCCCTTCCTTCCCCTCTTTATACGTTATCTCCGCCCCTATGGACAAGACTCATGTTTAGGTTGGCATTAAACCGGGACAAGACTGTGATAGAACAAAAATGAGAAAGATGAAACAAAATTGGTAAATTACTAAACTAACCATTTCAAATTAAACCTTAAAACCTTACATAATTATTTTCACATGCCTTCAACCTATCCCACTCTCATCTGTCCAAACCGATCATATCCAGAATCCGATCAAATCCGGTCTAATCAACATACTAAACGCACCCTTGTTTTCAATATTGCTTTTGTACATTAAAAAAAAGGTCTAGAACTCGAAACCAAACCAAATCGGGCTTTAACCAAAGCCAAATCAATTCTCAACCAAACCTAATATTCCTTAAAATTCTTAACTAAATCGGGTCCAAAGACCTGAACCAGGCATGAAGGCTAGGTCTTTGTCAGCCTAGTTTTGGTCTGGTTCAGTCCTCTGGGGCCTTTTTTTGCATCTCTTGTTTTATATATACATTTCTACACCTACCTATCGAAACACCTTTTTTGCATTTTCAATGCATTATTTGATCTGATTTTGACATAAATAGATGTGCATATAACACCCTTCAGAAAAAGTAGTTGATGAATAACAATAATTCATGAAATACTTAACAATCCAATGACACCAATATGTCATTCACCCTACAAAAATACATAAATTTAGACACCAAAGATTTGCAATTTGTTAGAAAAACATGGATATAAAAAACTATATTTCGAAATCTATTTTTCCTTTAAAACTAATTTGTAATTGGATCTTCATCCCCTCAGGATTCTGAACTATATTTCTACATCCTCCATATGCCAAAAAAATTTGCAGATTCTCTATGACTAACTCGATTGTCGAAGCATCTGCTGAAGCTGAATCACTTGCTGCTGTTGTTCAGGTGGCAGCGAACTTAACTGCTCTGGAGTCAGATTCAGCACTTGTTGCAACAAAGCCGATTCAATACCAACCGGAAGCTGCACCCATTTAAACGACAATAAATGTAAGTATTTGCTTTCCAATTATACCCTTAGAGCCAGTTCTATTCATAACCCCTCCTATATGAATGGTAAGTGAGTGGAGACATATGACATGTGAGTGGTGTGAGGACTGAGAGTATGAAATATGAGAGGGGTATGAATGGCAACCCCCTGCCCTTAACTATGAGATTAGTCCTCTATTATTAAGGGTAAAATTGTCATTTGTTTGATTAAAAAGTGTAATAATGACGCATTTCTAAAACTTATGGGCATTGATTTTATAATGGAGGGACTACTTTCTTGGTAATCATACTAATAGAACAACGGAGTTGGTCATTATGGTATCAAAATATCTACTTCTAATATGTTTACATAATCTATAAAGGTAAAGTTTTATATGTTAAGATGAATGGTTTAATGCATCCATTTAAGCATTGAAATGGTTAATCTATAAATGTGTGTATATGTATTATGTATAGAGGAAGGTTCAAATGAGAAGACACAAATTCATTGAGAACCCGGGTTACCAACAATTCATGATGAATAACACTGAAAAATGGACATTATTTATATGATGTTGTGGTAGATATTAATGACAAGAATTATTCATAATGAAGATATATGATACTAAAGATTAAAAAAAATACATGGTATCTATGATAAAAATGCATTAAATCATAAATAGCGAAAATGTGTGATATTCATGATGAATAATATTCTAGGTTATATAATGTAATTCATCATGAATAGTTAGTTCCCCGGTTCTCAATGAATTTGAGGTTCCCAATGGAATCCATCCCTATGTGTGTGTGTGTGTGTATACATATACACTCACACATGTGTACAAGTATGTTTGTATGTCCTCCTAAAACTAACCACTTAATGAAAGTAATTACCTCACCATTCATACATCAAATATATTAAATAATCCCTTACCTGAACTTAATGTGGTACCTACTTCTTAATTTTCAATTTAAAAGATAACTTTAACATTCTTCCTAACAAGGCATAAGAATTACCAGATATGCTACTTGCATAACATAACCAATGCTAAGCAAGCAGATATGTTCTAGACAGATATGTTCTAAAATTTATTTATGGTTCAACTGGCAACATTCTAATGAGGTCTTTATTGGGGTTTTACAGTATTGATTATTATCTTGTGCTATTTGTTAGAAACTCTAGGTATGTTCACATAGAGCACTTTGGTTTTCGATCAGCCCCTTCTTTCTCGAGTCTAATTGCGCTCAAGGGTTATGGACATCAAACAAATGTTAGCAAATAGCCAGATTTCTTGAAAATAAACACCGGCCAAATGGCAATGGCAATTGTGTGAAAAACAGGAGGTGTATTCAGAGATTATGAAGGTTCTTTTTTATGATCATAAATGATTTATGAGAAAACTTGTCCTCAAAGCCAGAGTCTCAGTAAATAAGTTAAGTACCATGTCAATTATATAGAGAAAAATCAGAGAGCTTTAGTACTTGATCAGTCTCATAAACGCTCAATGATTTGCGTTTGGTTCATCTAATCAAGACAAAAAGGGGTGTGCTTTCCTAATCGTATGATAATAAATATATTTGGAATAGAGCTATTGGTAGATTAGAGCCCCTGTGCTCATATTAATACGGGAAAGTGGTTTTGACAATGAAGTCACCTACAGACCATCATCCACTTGCTACAGGATACTCAATAACTTCAAAGCTATAAACTTTTTAGCGCTAGGATATCCATGTATTTCCTTTTTTGTAATTCTCTTTATGGGGCTGTATTTTGCTTCAAGTGGTTTAGCATATGCCCGGCCTTTACATGGGCCATTCTTTTTCTTTCACCAATATATCAAAACAAATAGCAGTTACTTTTTTACCAAATACGCTTATGAATGACATAAATGTAAAACAGAAATGGATAAATACCTCATGGTTCTGCTTTTGGGAGTCCATAGTCCCTGCTTTTAAAATCTGGTTTCCAGATAATGGAACAGCTTGAGACGACCCCATAACAGAAGCAGAAACATTTAAATCTGCAGGTGAGAAAGTGGAACCCCTCCCATCCTCCATCTTCAACAATTTTGGAGGATGACTGATTTGATCTTTGTCATTCAACCTTGAAGCCATGTTTGGATGATGTTCAACTTTATGCCCCCAAGCAGGATTATGCAATAAATGTGGAGGCTTGTCATGATCCTTGTTTCCATTATTTAATGTAGCAGACCCAATTGAGGAGCTAGGCTGCTAAGACAACCAATACATTCAAAAGTTCAACTTTAAGTATAATGAAAAGTATTAGAATGCAACTTTTTCAGCAACATATTAAGATCATCTGCTTTGCTTCAAGAAGCAATAGAGAATCCCATTTGTTATCAATTTAGCATTTTGCTGGTAATGTTCTTATCGAACCATAAACTATACTTTTACACTTTAAATGGGCATCCTAAGTAAGTGAGAAATAAATAATAATGACAAAAACAATAAGAAACAGCTATTCTACAAGATATATGATCCAACAAGTATATATTGCATTTTGGAAGTGTATATTGGCACCTTAAACACGTTGTCTTGTAATAGCGGATGAGTTGGAATAGAAGACTGCACAGGCGCAACTACATGGGTATTATGTCCTAGATTCGCAGAAGCATTCTGTCCATGGTACTGCAGCAAAGATGGTTGCATAGACGAGGAGGTTGCCATCTGATTTTCAGCTCGATTAGACAGACTGACTGGTTGTTGCAGATGTAACGGTTGAAGATTTCCGCCAGTTGGTAGTCCTGATAATGTTGAATGTTGTAAAACCTGATGCTGCGCTGGCTGTGGAGTCTGAAACCGAGGCTGCAGAGAAAGTGATGGTGCAGCATACTGGCTGGGAATCAATGAAACTGGATGGCCAGAAGAGGGTTGACTTTGAGATTGAGGCGTGAATCCAAGTTGCATTTTGTTCTGAGCAAGAGGCGGCAGCCCAGGAAGAGCTTGTGCTGAAGATTGTTGACCCAGTGAACTACCTTGAAGCGAAGGATGTGCATGTGGACCAGGAATCTGCCGGGTATTTGGCATCTGTAACTACATGATAGAGAGAGAAAGAAAGACAGAGATCTAAGGTCTCACCAACTCACGCTCAGGATAATAAACAAGAATACTAGTAGTACAACAAAAAAAATTCAAGTAAAGTAAATGCATACCATGTGGGGAGGAACCGATTTTAGCATTATATGAGCCTGCAATCAAAACATTAGCAACCTGTAAGATGTGTGTGATTTTACCACAAACATTAGATGATTCAACAAAACAAGAAAACACCAAATGTTTCTGCCGTTAGAAAGAAAACAGATTATAAGAATTCAATCTAATAGAAGCCATGACTGCATTATGGAATGCATTAATCGACTCAAGAGAAATTCTGTTGAAAAGAATGGCAGCATGACTATTGCCCAATTTTGCAGGTTAGCACAAAGACAAAGCTTCTGGCACCAGTATTGGTGGAGAGAAAACGTTGCAATACACCCCCAACTCTTTCCATGTACACGTATACTAAGGGGAAGACATTTACATCAATTTTTTTCATGAGAAAAATTGCATCCTTAATAACTTTAAATGTTCAATTCATATGGCAAACATATAGGCAAAGGCTGAGAGACATCCATCTAATCACATATACCAGCGAAGACGAGATGAACCGAGAGTGTCACATTTGTATGAACAAATTTCCCAAAGATTCCACAAGACCTTTCGGATATGCACCAGTAAAGGGGAAAAACAAACCGGCTTCACACCTTACCCAACTATAATTCCATTTTACAGGTTCATCATTATTACAAAGGCCGGCTGTAGTTCTCTAGAAGTGTTAATAGGGGTAGAATTGATCAAATGAACCAGGGGGAGAAAGAACTACTTTTACAAGAGGGGGAGGATCAGTAAGCACTAATATAACTGGAGAGCAATATCATAGCTCCTGCTTTTCTATTTCCAAACATTGAGAACGCTTGTACAAGTAAAATGTGGGTGTGTTTGATTATAAGAGGTTACAGTGAGAAGCAAGTAGTCCCCAAAAATATTTCATAAAAACCATGTTTTTAAAACAACATATAACAATACAAATGGAACTCCATATAACAAAAAGGAACTAAGAAGAATCATATTCTTTGCAACCATCGACTTATATTTATTATATATGAGCAGCAATACAACTTTATTGCCAAATATCAAGAAGCAGGGTAAAAGTACAACCTGCAAAACCGCTTTTGACAACTGTGGGTGCGCAAGTAACAGCTGGCGTGCTTGTTCCTTGTTTTGAGTAGCTATCGTCTGTTATCAAGATAAGATCAATGCCATTATTTCAAGTTACTGAGAAAGGCTGTTCATCAAATCCAGATGCTTACCTTCAGTTCAGTCAAAACCTCAGCCAGCTGGCCTTTGGGCATTTTAGCCAGATGAAGAGTCAAAGGATCATTTCCCAGTACTGGTTGACTCTGGACACCATTTTGACTTGTGTTGGTATTAGTCTGAGCACCTCCAAGAGCTCCAGCCATCACAATTGCAGCAGCCATAGCGACTTGGATACCAACAGCCTGGTGAAGACTAGGATCTCCATACACTGCAGGACCCCCGATTTGCTTTTGAGGAGCTAAGTTACAAACATCAACATTCAAAGGATATTAGAATATCTTAAATTTAAAGAAATAATTAGGGAAACTAAATAGGGTGAATTGAGCCTTACCAATATTTGGAGCTAGTCCAGGTCCACCACGACCCTAAGAGGGACAAAAGAAAAGAAAATTAGTAAAACTAATGAAGAAGTCTAGCTTTATGGACACCTGTGCATGGTTCCATATATTAACCAGTGAGAAACTGGGGTACAAATAACCTCCGTTTAAAACAACGTGCTATGGTGTAATCTTATTTGTTTAATTAAGTAATTCCCTTGAAGGTTTAGATGTGAAACAATCTTAGGACATGTAACGTGAGAAGGAATAGGTAACTTAAATACCATGTATTATCTCAAGTTGTCAACATATGGAGTTATATAGAAGCCAGAAATCCCTAAAAATAACAAAGAACTCATTCACATTATAAAATATCAGGGATTTTACTAAAAAGACGATAGACCAAACTTTTATATATGATGATGACGGGATAAGGTCTCAGGCTCTCAGCATTAAACTATTTTAATCCATACCCAATAGCATGAACTATAATACTGCATAAGTCACAACCCCTTCCCTAAAACAATGGAATTGTGGAACACAAGAATGCTACAGTCGTTAGCTCTTATTCTTTGTTTTTTTAATGATTTGCAAACAACTAACATATTAGAGGAATACATTCAGAATTTGTAAAGAGAGGTAGACTACAATCCATATGTGTAACAGTATAATCTACTGCAAGATTCTGTTGCAGTAGAGGAACCAGGAAGTCCATGCTGAAGACAGCATCTCTAATCACAAGGCAGAATATTCATACTTTAGGTCCAACCTTCTAAATCGAAGTCTTGGAAACTATTATAAGAGTAGCCTGACAGTATAATGATAGTAATTACCAAAATATTCACCCTTTTTTTATCTTAATACAAATAAACAATAAAAGCAAATTAAACAACCATGTTACAGAACATCCTCCAGGAAAATAATTACGCTGTCAATGATTATAGTTTTATATAAATTTCAATAAACATATGCTTAGCAGCACATCCAAATCATTTACCTGTTCTCGGCTTTTGTCGGCATTTTTGTCATTTTCAGCAAAATCAACTCTTAACTGTCTGCCATTGATATCATAACCATGGAGATTACGTCGAGCACTTAGAGCTGTTTCTTCATCCTTGTACTCACAAAACCCATAACCTTTGGGCTTACCAGTTTCTCTATCGATAACTAATCTGGAATTGACAAAATGACGAAAGTTATTTGTTTCTGCCAAACTTACCCGAAAACTACTCTTGACATTTATCTAAACAAATCCTAGAATAGAAGTTAGATGGCTCGATATCTAATAAGGTGAATAAATGAAGCTTATTATTAAACAAAGCAAGGAGTGAGTTGTGTGAACTGGACCAACTGGTGCAATACTGGAGATGAAGCAGCTAAACTGTTTATTAACTTAAAGAACTCAAGCAAGTAAGCTTCTTTGTCATACGATGTACATAAAGAGAGCAAACATGGAGTCTCTTGATATAACATGACTATAGACCCAATCTCCTCTTGGTGAAAGTGATGCCTCCCCCAAGGGAACATGAAAGGGAAGATATAAAACATAAATTATTACCACTTTCTTCGATCTAAACTTGATTCTTTTTCATCCATACTGTTTCATAACCTTTTCTTACCATATCATGGAATTCCCATAACACCTGTTAATACATAAACATGTACTGGCTTACCAAGAACCCATATTCACCAAACTTAGCATATTACTCAAAATTTGGTACTGGGCTACACTTGAAATCAGGTTTTGGTTACTAGTAGTGGTAGATCTAGTAGACAAAGAACATGTGATAAGAGTAAAAGCACTTTACTGATCTACCAAGGAAGCAAGCAATCTAATTGCCTCAATTAACTTTGTTGTGCAAAGATAACATGTGATACTTTTAGTGCATGTTTCTTATCTTAAGAGGCTTAGACCATCTCCAACCCTAGCAGCAAAAAAGAACACCAAATTGGTGGGAACATCAACACCAAAAAAAAAATTGATTCAATCCAACCAAACTACATATATGCAGTTTGTCTCCCAACAATGGCATTTTTACAGTGACTGTGCAGTGTGGTTGGAACACTCCAGCAGGTAAACTGCAGTTTTTACCATCCGACTGGAGTTACACTTAGACATGAAATTTTCAGATTTAAGCTGACGCAATAAAAAAACCTGATAAGAGTAAAAGCACTTTGTGGAATAGATAAAACTAACAAACCTGAACGATACTACAGGGCCAACCTCCTCACAAATTTGTACAAGCTGTTCTTCAGTTGCATCGTATGGTATGTTTCCAACTGCAAATAAGTGTTCAATTGATCATAAACCTCCAATAACTATAGAAGATGAAAATAAGTTGAATTTTTCCAAGACTGTATTAGGGTTTCAAATTTTCCACATACTCTTCCTAGAAATTTGGTTAAATCTCACAAACCCTGGTTAACAGAACTAAAAATTGTAGTAAAAAAGAACGAATTGAAACTGAAAACGAACCAAAAACGCAGCGATGTTGAGAATTGGCCATCAAAATCAACAAACGAAGTTGAAGAAAGGGTTCAGCTCCATCTTCTCCCTCGGCATCCTAAATACATCAATTTCTTCACTGACACATTCATTGAACCATAAAAAGATTTCCTCTTCGTACCTTCAATCAAACCACAACTAAAACCCAGAGAACTTCACTCACCTTCCGCCAACTGATGGATTCCCCCAGATATCAAGAAATAAAAAAAGGAAAACCCACAAACTGGTAAAAATTAAGGGGTTTTCGTTTCCGATTCTATAATTGGGCGCATAAAGATATCATCAAAATTGCTACTAGATTGAACCCTAAAATTCATAAAAAATGTAGCAGAAAATTGGATTTAGAAAAGGGAATGTAAACAATGGTGATATAATTCCCAATTACAGCAACAATCCCAATAATTACAGGGTGAAAACAAAGAAAGAAGGTGAGTATCGAATTCTATTATTCAGGAGAGGATCCGTTGGAAGTCAAATTAGGGGAAATCTTTGGGCAATGAGGATCTGACGATCTATTTGATTAGGGAACAACATTTTTCCTAAAAAAATAATTATTTTCGTATTTTTAAATTATTAGTATTTGCATATTATACCTAAAATTCAAGCTCGTTAACGGGCTCGAACTTGAGGTCGGTTAAATTGTTCATCGGCTCGAGTTCAATATTTTTTATATTTTAATTGTATGATTTATGAATGTATGAATATGTCTAGCTCGAAAAAAGTATATACTCGAAGGGTTCGACTTGGCTTGAAAAATATAATCGAGCTTTCGAATGAGTCGAGTTGAACATTGGTGTTATGGGGTTTCGCTCGTTAGGATAAATGAGCTTTATTTTGTGTTTGAGATCAACTCGATCTCGAGAATCGTTAAGTTCAAGCTCGAGAAGTTCATTAAAAGCTTGAATCGCTAACTTAGCATTTAGCATGTGACATGGGACAGAATAAGAATTCATTATTTCATGTTTGGTGCGACATGTGATAAGAACTGTGGCTGGGTGGAATAGTACGAGACAAAAAGGTTTTTTTTCTTAGAAACTAAAATATTATTAATTTATCATCGTTTGATAGATAAACTAAAATATTAATAATATGGTTACCGTACCAAAAATAAGAAATTTCTCTCTTTATACTAATCAAGCTTGAAGAAAGAAATTAAGGAAAAGCCAGGCATAATCAAGGTGAGTACTTATGAGATTTATGAGGTACATAAATGCTACATAAAAGTATTTTATAAATTACAAGATATTTTGACACGTTTGCTTTACATGAAAATGTTATATGAGATGTGCATGATGACATGTTCTGATACAAGTATGTGTTTTCAACCAAGGCATGAAAATGTTCACATGTTATGTATAACCATAAATATCCAACGTACGAGATATTACAAGAAGGGACCACTTGCATACAATCCTTATGGGGCAGCCTTTTATGAACCCGGGGGCTAACAAACCTCAAGACAAGTATGACATACTTACATGTTTCAAGTGAGATTTCAAAAGAATGTTTATGAAATGATAAAAAGGTTATTTTGTGCATGATCAAGAGTTTTAGTGAATTACTATTCACAAAATATTAAGCATTATGAAAATTATTTATTCATGAAACTGTAACTACTCACTAAGCTTATTAGCTTATATATCTCATGTATGTATCTCAGGAAAGAAGTAAAAAAGATTTGCATGAAGTAATATTTTACTAATTAATAGCAAATTATAATGTATTATAAGCTATTGAGTCATGTTTCCGCTAATATTTCATCTTTGATGTAATTATAAGCTATGTTACAAATAAAGTTAACTTTCAAATTCATATTCAAGACTTAGTAGTTTTAATTTTAAAGTAACGGCATCCGATTTATTGTTTTAGAAATTTTGGGGCGTTAAATGTTGTTATTGCAACTACTGCTTACTATCTTTGTTGTCTGCTTGCTTGCACTGCTGCATACACTTTTGAACTAATTCTCTATCCCTCTCGTCTCTCCAAATTCATTTGCAAGTCGGGGGGGTCTACATAGAAACATTTGTATCCCTTTGGGTAGAGGAAAGACGTGTGTACATTCTACCATATTCAGATCCTACTTTCGGGTGGGATATATTGGTTATGTATGGTTTGGTTTCTTTTGCACCATGTGGGTATGTCATTTGTACTTTATTTTTTGTGTCCGTCAATTTTTTTTTTCTGAATGGGATCCATAATGTCATCATTATTACTGATACCATCTATGACATAATCAACATGTTTGAAATGTTAAATACAAATGGAAAGGTGGACTGTGATTCGTACATTTGTTTTTGGTTTTTGCAGCTGCACCCGATATGGACTGTGATGATGTTAATTTCTTGGTATGTATTGGCTTTTATTAGTTATAATTCTTTTCTTTTTACAATCATCATTCAGATTTAATGGATTTCTTCATTTTTTTTATACAGAGTCTTAACCTGGGTGGTGGAGGAGGAGAAGACTTCGATGTAGACGATGCACAGGAATTCAATGAAGGCAAGCATCCATTTTTTTTATTCTTTTAATCCTGTAATAAGATAAGCCCATGCATCATATAGTTGCATTTATGTGCTTCATGTTGTAATCAAAACCAAACCAGATGAACCCAGAGAATCCTACGTTAAGTGAGGTCTTGGAGAGTAGGATGTACACGCACCTTATCTTTATCCTGAGGAGTAGAGAGTTCGTTTCCGTGAAGACCTCAGCTTGTGTGCCATTATAATATGTTGGCTAGCCCTTTGTTCATTAGCAGGGGAACCTTAGCATTTTGGATCATTTACATGTTCAAATTTGATTTGATGGAACGCTATTTCTTTACACCATCTTTTTGTTAGGTTTCAGTAATACAGAAATGGTCTCTCAATTTTAATGTTTATTTACTCTTACTTTGAAAGCTATAAAATATTTACGTTTTACGTGTATTATATTATTAAAACACAATAATATATTTTAACAAAAAACATGTAGTTAACATGATTATATTTTAGTACATGAACTCAAAAATTTAATTAATAAACCAACAAACAAGTTGGAATGTATAATAACCACCGAGACAAGTAGATATGTAAAATGATGAAACATTTTACTGGTTGAGATTTGTGAGGTTTTGATGGCAAGTGAAAGGAAATGTGAAGAAGCAAGCTACTGATTAAGTTAAAAAAAAAGTGTTTTATCCTCAACTTTAACTTGTCTTTCTAACTTTGTTAGCTTCAAGAATAAAGAAACGAATAAAAACCGTAACCAATGAAAAAACAATTTTTAAGTACGAAAAAAAATAGTTATATACAACATCAGACGACAAGGACGAAAATCGTAGTTTACTCCATTTAATCAAATATCAAAATGCCATTACAGTTGTGTAGATTTTTTTTTTACCATTCTTCCTCAATCTCTCTCTAGGATTATAACTCTCAAAACTTTTTTTTGAAATATATAATATTTATATACGGTAAATAGAGCAAATAAACTCACACACCCTCCTCACTTTTGGTAAAGTTTGAATTCCTGACCTCTTTATTGACCAAAAAACTCGCATATCGCTAGGCCAAAGACTCTTTGGTTAGAACTCTCAAACTTACAATTCAATATATATTTTGTGATTTCTATCTTAATAAAAACAAATCAGAGTTTATTTTGGTATATATATACATATATATATATATATATATGTTCATCAATATTCTAAATTACTTGACGAACCGTTCAAATATTAAGACCAAATCAGAAAATTTCGTATCGTGTTATAAAAATTTATTTGAAACATGTAATGATAAATTCCGTAAAGAAAAAAACGTCCACTGTAAAAATGGTGAGTCGAGCACAGATGTACCAACACTTTATAACAATATACTTAACCAATAACATTATGTTTTTCAATGGTAGTCTAATTTTTGCGAGTTATATGACCGTTAAACACCTTGATATATTGGTACGACGAGAAAGAAAGCGAATCCTAATCTCCGATTCCCGCTGTCGTTGCCGGGATTTACTAAATGTCCAAGAGTTAGCCATGTAGCTTCTGAATTCACTTCTTTCTTTCAGTGGGCATATGGTGCTTTAGCGACGAAAAACATGACTCACACTCGAGGTTTGCTTTGTCTCAAGGATAACTTGGATGGCTACGACTGAAATACAACATACACACAATCACTTGAGGTTGAACCTCCTATGTCAATGACGATATAGTCGACAAATAGGAGAACCAGTATTCCATAACTCCACCAACGGAGGGCGAACACTTAGAAGAAATGGCACTTTGACGATATTAAACCACAAGATGATGACAAGTTTCAGTAGTTCTATTTTTAAACTATAACCCACAAAGGTTGAGTTGGGTTGGGACTTTTTCAAACCGTTGTAATTGGATTGGATTGTTTAAATGTCCGGTCTCTAGTCTAGTCTAGTCTAGATTAGATATCAAAGGCAGTAAGGATAATTCGAAGTCGGTTATTTTGGATAGATTATTAATTAGTTGTTTGTGGCCAAAATAGTTATAGTTACACTAGCACATAATAGTAGATAATAAGCTGAAATAGAAAGAGAGAAGCACCAAAATCTGCAGGAATTAAGGAAGTCTCCTGGAGGGAAGATCGGTAGGAGGACGCAATGTCCAGATCATCTCCTTCGTTTTCCCAAAGTATACCTGCAAATGCAACCAATTAACAACAAAACACCTTTATAATCTCAAAATCAATGTATTAAGGGAGAATAGCACCTACCTGATCAAGTGAATATCGCAACTTTCCTTCCAGTTCTTCTATCATCTTTCCCATGTTGCATAGATGGCCATCTGCAACTGATAGTTCCGCTTTCATCTATCCATCACAAAACCCCATCTCATTCTCGGGTGGGTGCATCATATACAAGTTAAGTTTATAACAAAGACTTTCACATGCAGATATCGTCAACTATAACAATACATCATCAGATTGTACTTTGTTTCAAGTTAAAATCTTTCCTACTTATGGATCTTTCGCTTTTCTTGATAAGTTAATCAGATGATTTTTGCAAACACAATTCATGTAAGCCAAAACTTTCAACTTGCAACCCAGACCAGCTAATAAAATAATTACCTGTCTCCGAATAGATCCCGACAAATTAAATGTGCCAGATGTCTCATGATCTGTAGTCATTGACAGCATTACAGTACTTGTTAGACAGTAGTCGGCCATTCCTTCCACGTCTGGCCCCACCTGAATATGAGACAATTCCAGTGTCATGGAAGAATGCATGGAAAATTCAGTTAGTTTAAGCTTTACCCAGAAGATCTTGACAGATGAAAACTACCTGGATAACATGTATAGCATCCCAACCTCCCTCGTTCAAGTAACCTCTTCTCCCATGTGCATACTTGGATCCATCTTCACAGTTAAAATATTTGCAACTTAATTTCAGTTACAAACGCACTGAAAGGATAGTCAATTATGGCAGGTGAGCACTAACCTTTTTTAATCAAGAAGCAAGCCACAAAGCCTTCACTGTCATCGTCCTCCCACAAGTAGACTGATGAAGCACCACCTTCATAATACCTAACACAATACAAGATTAATCAAGATGCATATTCCTTACTAAGCCATATGTATTGACAGAAAGAGTAGGTATACAGATTGTTTTTCTCATTGCAGGTCCAAACAATTTGCTCCATGAACAAGCAAAATCTTAGAACAGCCAGATTCGGATAAAAGAAAATTCTTTAAAATAAACTGGAATAACTTACGTGGGCAAATGATACATGACGAATCATAACATCAACAAAGATACAATAATTTGAAATACGAGGTAAGTAAAGGACCTCACTGGTCACGATATACTGTGAAGACGTCATTTGCTTCAATTTCAAGTGTCCTCAATTCAAGAGATGGATAATTCCCGCCTTCTAACGGAGGGTGGTATTTATTTGACCAAGGGGATCTACAATCAAATCACAATATCAGAGAACTGAAAGTCACCAACATGACAATATCAAGGAGGAAGAGAAATTTCTAGAAGCAGATCATGCATAAAATGATAATTCTTCTCAATGGGCCTAACAGATCAGATTACTAAATTGGAAAAAAGTCATGATCCTTATGAAGTTCAAGGTATGTTATTCAGGGGTCTTCACATTAATAACCTATCTACCCCATGGGAGTAGATACCCCCAGTCCTACTCCGAGCGTGATATAACGAGTACATTTTGTTTTGGTTACTTGTCAAGGCAAGTGATGTGATATGATGATATTTGTTATTACCTATAAGAGTCAGCATCTCTATTGTAGTCACACAAGAGGAATTCTCTCCCATTGTCCACATCACATAAGACCTGTCAAAATCTTATTAAATTTTGCAGACACAAAATTGACAAGAAGATAAGAAATCAAACACACAGCAGCATCACTATTTATACATATGACTCATTAGCTTGAAAATGATTAGCCTCCTCAACAGGCAAACAAAAAGGTGAACCAAGTACTGGAACTTCAGTGACGACAACAGAAAGAGATGGATGGAAAATACCTCATCAGATTAACTTGAAAACTTAATTCTAAATGCATATGGCATATTCGTGAAATTGCCTCATCAATCACATGCTACTTTTATCCATCAGTTAATCAACTTTCCTATGTTTGAATAAGTTCATGCATCGTAAATCTCATAACAATACTTCTGTTTGATGCGTGATTGCATTTGCATCTTATATCTTTCATTTAGAGCGCACAATCAAAACGTGCAACAAATCCGATATGCATGAAACTTAAATGCAACATTTGACACAAATACAGCTCTGTCGAACGATACATTCATGAATTTTTAACATGAAGAGAAGAGATACACACATTGCTGAATTTTAACATTAAGAAAATAGATTCACACACATTGATGCATGCAGTGGCATTCGTGAGAGGAATTCAAAGGTGAAAAATGCAGATAAAAGTAAATTAGGGTTTAGAAAACCTGAAGAGGCTGATCGACTTGAGAGAGGAGATCGGAGGAGTAGGTGGGCAAGAGGCTGATGAGGGCGGAGAGAGCTGTCTCTGTGTGTTTTGGAGGGATTCTTCTCATCAATCCCATTGCTGCCTCCATTTCGATGCATAGAGAGAAACAGAGAGGGAAGGAAGCTTAACAAAAATGGAAGAAACGGGTCGGGTTGTGGTATGGTTCAGGGTAAACGAATCGGATATGATTTTTCTTTGAGTAAATTACATTTTTGGTCCCTGTAGTTCTTAGAATTTATGGTTTTAGTCCATGTAGTTTTTTTAATTACAAATTTGCCATTTTTATGGTTTATATTTTCCCTTGGATTTGGTCCTAATGGCAGTTAAATTCCAAACAAGCATAGATTATAAACCTTTAGTAAAATGACTGTCCATAATTCAACAGATAAAGTACATTACATAGTATTACATAGTCCGTTTTAAAGATTGGCGACTTATTCAGGCACCGGACGTTCCTCAAACGGATACTGTCGGGTCGGGTGAATTCAATAATAGACGTCTATTGGCATTCCAATCTTCTCCTTTCATGGCTACATATGTTTCCGGATAAGGAATGAGAAATCTTTCTCCTCCGATTAAGTGATGAGTATTTTAGCCTTTTCTTTTATTTTATATTTTTTTAAATAAGAACAATAATATATACAGATAGAGACAGAAAAAAGATGTTGATTTAGATCAAATCAAAAGCTGAAGTATAAAAAGCAAGTTTTGATATTGATGTATATGAGAAGGAAATTAGTAAGTAAAGGTGCATTTAAGCTAAGTGTGGTAAACTAGCTGTTAGCTGAAAAGCTAATTGATGACTGATAAGTTATGTGTTAGCTTATAAGTTAGTTGGTAGCTGATAAGTTAGATGATGAATAAATCATGTTTGGTAAAACTAGCTGATAAGAATTTAAAATAAACAAAAAAGGCATCTTGAAAAATTAATGAATTATAATATTTCAAAATATAATTAAAATAAATATTTAATAATATATATATATATATATATATATTAATTAATACAAATAATA